CTGAGAGAAAGAGCATGTGATAGGGAAGAGAGAATCATCTTCTTTGCTGTAACCTGAACTTCAGCTTGGTTCACAAAAAAAAAAGAAAGGAAGGAGAGAAATTGTTTCTTTCATGGTTAATTACAATCAGCAAAAAAAAAAATTACAATCAGCAGAGATCATCTACAAGTCTCCTTATTCATTTGTCTCAGAGTTTTCTAGATGTATTGTACCATTGGATAAAGCAATGCATACCCATAGGGCATCTCTGAAGCTTTTCCCAGTGTTTCTGAATTGAGAGCTTTGTCTGTTTTAGACAGTAATGCGGGCTGTCCTGCCACACCCATGACCGCATCGGGGACAGCCCCTGGACTCCAGTGTGTCCACACTTCTGCGTCAGAATGTGGACATTCACACCAAGGGCAAGAGAGAGAAGGTCAAACACTAGGTTTGCTACCCAGTTGGCTAGAAGGCTGTTTTCTACATTGTTTATTTGACTCACTGGGTCTCCATTGCAGTGCTCGGCCTTTAGTTGCAGCGTGTGGGCTCACTAGTTGCGGTGCCTGCGCTTAGCTGTGGTGTGTGGGATTGAACCCAGGCCCCCTTGCGTCGGGTCTTAGCTCCTGGACCACCAGGGAGGTCCCTAAACGGCTTTATTTCTTAGAGGTTGTCAGATTTTGGAATTGTGGCTAATGAGGACCGGTAATATTCTTTTTTCCTTATGAAACCCCTCTCCCTGCAGAACTTGACCTTCATGATACACTTAAGAAATATGGAGAAGTTGGTAGAACATTAGCTTTCTGTGACCACTTCTGAGTCTCGCATTCATCCTTTCTGTAACACTAGTGTAGCCTTCTGGCTTTAGTGCTGTAGCATTTTAGTACCAGGGGACCTCAAAATCACTGGTTTCAGCAAGAATTCTCCCATGTGAAGCCAGTTCTATTTGCCCAACTTTTGTCCTGTAAATTATGAACATCTTACGTGAGCCAGAAAGAATCTTCTGAAAAAGCATTCCCTCATTTTTAAAGGACAACAAGGACTTCCCTGGTGGCTTAGACGGTAAAGAGTCTGCCTACAATGTGGGAGACCTGGGTTCAATCCCTGGGTCAGGAAGATCTCCTGGAGAAGGAAATGGCAGCCCACTCCAGTATTCTTGCCTGGAAAATCCCATGGACAGAGGAGCCTGGTAGGCTACAGTCCATGGGGTGGCAAAGAGTCAGACACGACTGAGGGACTTAACTTTCACAAACACCTTGTGGATTTTACTAATCCTCCTATCAAGTTTAATTTTTGCTTTCTTCACTTTATGCTGTCTTGGTTAAATGTATTGTAGCTGTTTTTTTTTTGGCAAATCCCCTAGTTGACAGATTGCTAGAAAGCTGAGTTTTCCAGAGTAGGTCCTTCAAACTTCCTGTGTTTTATGACCAGGGTAGACAGTAAAAGCAAGGTCCATCATCTTAAGGAGAAAAAAAAAGCCATAAATCAGACCAGCAGAGCATTGAGAGATCACTTTTTTGCTGGCAACATTAATCACTATCTAAAAGTTTTGAATAAAATCAAATACTAAAAATAAGAAGACTTTGGTTTTATTCTTAGTTGAGCAAGTGACTTTCAAAGAGACCTTTTTTTCTTTTTCTGTTAATAAAAGTGGAACCTAACTTTTGTTTGGAACAAGGAACTGTTTTAGAGTGTTTTATAAGTTGGCATTTATCAGGTACCCTGAACTCTGGGGGAAATTTCCAAGTGGAAGATCTTGAGAGAGAAAGCTGGGCACTTCTAGCACATTCTTTTGGTTTCAGCTTCCCAGATCCCTAGAGATAGAGTGACCAGCTGTCCTGTTAAGGCAGCTTTGTGATTTGCAGTCCGAGTTTGGCCAGATTGCCTGAGGGCGGTCCCCCTCTAAGTTATCACAGATGTTTACAGACAGCAGAAAAGCAAACAGAACGTTTCTACATAGCTGTCCTTTGGGAAGGTTTAAGAGCCCTGGATCCCTTCCAGAATGTAATGGGTTTGGATGGGTTTCACGCCTTTGTGATTTCTTGTTGTATTTGTCTGTGTCACCTTGCCCTGGGGGAGCACTCAAAAAGCCACTGCTGCTCCAGCCAGGATGTCAGACCTGGGACTCTCATCAGGGATGCTTGTTTGCCAACAAATGAGTGTTTAGTGGGTAAGACAATCCCTTCCTCCTTTAGTTCCATCCTTCCCCAAATATGCTTTAGATGAGTCTGAGTAAACCCAAATCCATACTTCAGCTCAACTGCCTTTCTTATAGTTGCATCCAGTAAAATTCAACCTATAGGGTGCCTCCCTAGGCACTGATGAATCAGTGAATCAAATCCCTGTTCTTGGGGAGCTTATAGTTAATAAACAGAGATCAGACCCAAAAACTCATTATTGCGGTCTCTTGGGTGTTTGAGGACCTGAGTATTTCTTTAAGCTATGTCTTGATAGCACATGAGTAAAGATCCCAAGCTCTGCTTGGGAATTGAATCTTCCTAAACATAAGGAGGCAACCTGTTTGAAAAGCTCCAGTGACTGACAAATGTCTCCTACCCAAACCTGGACTCTGCCAGCCTGGCACGGAAGGTCCTCAAAATCTTAGCCTAGTCTGCCCTTTATTTGGCCAGACTGCCCCTTATACACCACCTACCCTGGCTGATCTCTTCAGTTCATAGTGTCTCGCCTCCATAGTCTGCTGGATTCCACTGAGAACAGAAATGAGATTCCTATTCTTTTCTTCATGCAGGTCTTGCCAAAGCCTGCTTTTATACTAGAGCCCACAGAGACTTTCCTTTCCTCCACACGTTTTAGTTTGTTGTTTGAATCGACATGATCCAATACTGCCCAACTCATCGGCTAGCTTTTAATTTGTACCTCTTGCTCCATGCCCTGAATTGTGAGCATTTTTTGATTGAGGACTATGTCTTATCTTTTTTATTTTAATATTTCCTACACTACTTCCTAATAGCAGGGGCTCCATAAATACATTCAACTTATTGATTATTAATCAATAAATTCTTGCCACTTGAGTGATTACAGTTCAAGGACTAGGATTTATTGATTTCAGCAGTTACAAATTGAGTTATTCTTTCCAGTTGGTTGGTCAAAGCCAAGATTCACAAGCTTCACTGTCACTGTTTCTTGTGGGGCTTCCCTTGTGGCTCAGCTGGTAAAGAATCCACCTGCAATGCGGGAGACCTAGGGTCCACCCATGGGTTGGGAAAATCCTCTGGAGAAGGGAAAGGCTTCTGTTTCTTAGTCCACTTGAAAAGTGCCCTTTCTGGGCGAAGCAGTAAGGTTACATCCATGTGCCTCTTTGTCACCATGTATGTGCACTTGAAGTCTGGAAGTGGTTTTGCCCAGAGACACTTGGCATCCAAAAGTCATGGCTGGAGGCAGTGTTTCTGGCTGGTTGGGGACCCACAGAAAGTCACGTGACTGCAGTATTCCTTCTTCCCTTTGTATTTACCTACTGGGCACCTGTCTTGTTGCTTTTTAGATGCTACTGCCCAATGTCTGGGCCGCCAGTCTTTGCCTTGCTTTTCATGAGCAGCATGGAAGCTGCTACTATAGCCAAGGTTAGACCTATTTGTGAAGGCAGGCTCCACAGGTGGCCTCTGCTCCCCAGCAGGGCCCTCGAGATGCTCTGGTGGACCAGTACAGACAGATCCCGGTACACACCAAAACCATCCCAAAGGGATGCTGCCGACAGCTCTAGAGGTAGACAGTGGGGGCCAACACCCAGATGTCTTGTCCCAGTGGGGGACGCAGGTCTGCTGAGTGCGTATGGGGGAGTCAAGTCTCTGAAAACCCCTGGTTAAATGTGGCAAGTTTAAAGTATCTTCCAAACCTGAGAACGTGTGAGTCTGCAGAGGAAGTCTGGCTCGGGGACCAGATGCATAAGACGTCCTTCTCGTGCCTAATAATCAGTTTCACACCTTCTGAGTTTTTTCTGGACCTTGTCAAAACCAAATGACTTGTACACAAAACAGAAACAGATCCACAGACATAGAAAACAAATTTATGGTTATCAAAGGGGAAAGGGCTGGGGGGATAAATTAGGAGCTTGGGATTAACATAAACATGCTGCTAAATACAAAATGGTTAACCACCAAGGACCTGCTGTATAGCATAGAAAACTTTGCTCATTATTTTGCAATGTATATGTAAAACTGAATCACTTTGCTGTGCTCCTGAAACTAGCACAACTTTGTAAACCAACTAGACTCCAATCGAAACAATTTTTAAAGTCAAATTTTTTGAGAATTTGAAAATATGTTTTAATTATCATGTTTCAGAACATAAGCGGGGGGGGGGGGGAATTTCTTTTTTAATTAGGAAGAAAGAGGTTAATACACTAGACCAGTGATTTCTGAATGTAGATAACTTAATATAGTGAAATCATGCCTTATTAACAGGCCAATAGCATCTTATAAAGAACACCACATTTTATATAATTAAGAATTTTTAAATTATCTTGATTTTAAAGAGCAAATGTTATTGATTTGTCATATTTTGGACAACAGTTTCTAGCATGTGGCTAATCCAGGCAAAGAAAACTGGCCTATTGGTTAATGAGGGAAACAGTTCTCGGTCGAAAACAGTCGAAAACAACTCCATTCTCAGACCCCACGACTGGGCCCCCAGGAGCTCCCTGAGGCCCTTCCACCCACCCCCCCCCCCGGGGACACTGATGACCCCCTCCCACATCCCTGCTGCCCAGGGACACTCATCTGCACCCGCCTGGCATGCCGGGCTTGAAAAGGACCCGCAGGCATCCCAGAGGGATCCCTGCCCTGCTGTGTGCACCACAAGGATAGGCCCCGGGCTCTGCATGCTGTGCGTCCCCTTGTGGCTCTCAAGTAAATCAGTGCAAAGAAAGCACCACTTTTCACTAAAGGAGCACAGACATGGGGTGTGAGGACCAGATGGCGGGGGTCGGGTCTCCTGGTGTGGTGCGGAGGTCTTCTCCCGGGCCAACCGTGTTTCTGCCGTGCCCCCTGTGTGCCCCTGTCTTGCAGCAATGAAGTGGTGAGGACGGACCTGAAGAAGCTGCCAGCGCTTCCCACACAGGCCCTGAAGGAGCACCCCTCCCTGGCTTACTGGTAAGCCCCTTTCCTCTGCACGCCCCAGCCATCCCCCCAAGGAAGGAGCCCCTCCTAAGGAGGCAAGGGACTCCTGGCGACTGTCCACCCTCCCCACCACCACGGGTCAACCTGGTCTCCAATCAGAGCGATTCCACACTGTATCGAGTGGCCCGAGCCTTCGTGAATCCATTTTTTGCATTTATTTAAATGACACGGAATATGAGAGCCGTTTTTTTCCCTATTTTCTTTCTTTCTTTTCCTCTTTTTTTTTAATAAAAGGGAAAACTTCTAAAATTTCACTTTGGATGCCTTGCCTCCTTGGAGAACCCTTCATGAACTGCTAGAATTTCGCTTTGGGATCCTTGTCTTTTGATGACAGCATGTGTGGGGTTTTGAGTTGTGGGAGGATGAGAGGGGTTTCTTTTTTGCAGAAGAGGGAGGTTGATTCTTTTCTTTTCCCACAATGTTTCATATCTCCTGATGTAGCTGCCGTGTAACATTACACCATAGTTCATCTGTTAGGCCCTACACTACTGATTCTCAATGAATCGGGCACTTGAACCGTTCGCAGATTGTGATTCAGGTCACAGTGGAGTGGGTTTTGCATGGCTGGGTAGTGTGTTGAAATACTGTAGGGCCAGCGAGCCCCAACCACCATCCTTTGAAAGCAAAACACCACTTCCCTAATCATTCTTATGACTCTGTAACCAAAAGCACTTTTTGTTAGGCTTTTGTAAGGGCTTTTATTTTATTTTATTTTTTTTTTTTTCCATTTATTTTTATTAGTTGGAGGCTAATTACTTTACATCATTGCAGTGGTTTTTGTCATACATTGAAATGAATTAGCCATGGATTTACATGTATTCCCCATCCCGGTCCCCCCTCCCACCTCCCTCTCCACCC